CAGGTCAGGATCGGAACCACCTGGCTGGGCACAATTCAGGAGCCACTTGTCAAAAGGAACGAACTTTATTTTTAGAACACACACACCCAGCACCACACAGCTCTTCAGGAAAACCCTCAGAGCCCAACTGCCACCATCAGCTTCCCACAAGCCTCTCAACCTCCACCACTCCTCCTGCTCTTGAGGCCAATTGGCTGGGTCGCGTGGGCGGAGCCAAAAAAAAGTCCCCCAATGAGCAGCTCCGTGGTCTGAAAGGGCGCGGAAACAACCCAAGGAGCAGAGGAGCCAATCAGTTGGCAGCTAGAAGTTTGCTGGGGCCTCTGTGAGCCAATCATCAGCTGGCAGCTGGAAGTTTGCTGGGGCCCCCTCTGCTGGGGCCACTGTGAGCCAATCATCAGCTGGCAGCTGGTGCTGGCAGCTGGAAGTTTGCTGGGGCCCCTTGGCTGTGGCTCTCAACAACCTGGGGGCAGGGGCGGGGCAGGGAGGAGGTGCAAGGTAGAGCCCAGTGAGTAGGGGCAGGAAATCACCCAGGAACACAAATCCCCACCTACCACAGAGCCCAGGAGCTGGAGGGCCACCCACACATCTTAGCAGCCCTCCTGCAGACCCAGACCCCCTCACAGCCTCCCCAGACTCATCCAACACTGGCTACCTGCTTCCCCCCACAAAGGCTCACCACCTTTCAAATGGGCCCACTCCGTCAAAGGACAGCTGCCAGACACCTCTGCTGTCACGCACACCCTTGCTGCTCTGTGCCATGAGTGACGGAGCTGGCAGTCCCTCCCCTCGAGGACTTACCTCTCACAGGAGTCACACATTGACACCTTACCAACATGTGACTCTAATGCTGCTCCTGATTCTGGACCAGTGAGACAGCCGGTCAGTGCCACATGAATGAATGAGGAGAAGGCCACTAACCCTGAATAGCAAATGTATCTGGTTGGAAATGTAAGTTTTCAGGGGCCACAATGACTCAAAAAAATAAAGATTGGGTTAACTTCACTTTGTACGTCTTAAGTGGGGACGGATTGCACAGAACTAGGGCCGCCACCCAGCCCCCCAGGAACCCTAAGGCCAGGAGAAGAGAGCCAGATCCTCCCCTCTCTGCTGCTGCCCTCGCTTTCCTGTCCTTTGAGCACACAGCAGATCCCTGACCTCTGCTGCCACGCACACCCTTGCTGCTCTGTGCCATGAGTGACAGTCCCTCCATGAGCTGGCAGTCCCTCCCCTGGAGGACTTTGCTGCCTTACCTACATGTCTCCAAGAGCTCAAACCCATCGACCACAGCAGGGAGATGCTGCCGCCGACCAGAATCTCACCCACGTGGTCTCAGGACAAGCACAGACCAGAGGCTGAGAAATTAGCCTGAAATTGACATGGGAGAGGCAACATAGGCTCTGAGGCCTCCAAGGGCACAGTGCAGAGTATCTGCACCTGCTGAGGAGGGCATCGGGGTCTCGATGCCAGAGCACCAGGGGCTCAGCCAGCTGGTCTTCTAAAGCCTCATCCAGCAAGAAGCTCTGTGATCCTGCTTGTTCCCATCGCTGGCCAGTGATCCTGAGGAAGTGTCCATGAGTGGCTGAGGAAGCAGCAGCACGTCACAACCCATTTCTGAGCCATCAAAAGAGGCAAGTGGCCAACGGGGACGAGGAGAGGGAAAGGAAGCAGGGCACAGGCCAGAGGTCACAGGAGCAGCAGAGTACACCACTGCTACTGGGCCCTGGCTACTCCCCAAAGCCGCACACAAACACTTCATTCACTGTCCAGCCATAGTCCTTTCCTGCCTCTATTAGGAAATGGAAGCTGACCCCAAAGTCTGCACTCAAAGAAGCTCTGGTGAACTCTGATTTTGAAAGAGAAATTGGGGTTTGAAAGCCTGAAGCATCTGATATTAAAAAAAAAAAGTGCCTAATTCTTGCACCTAAGTCACCCGCCAAGGCCTGTCTACCACAGTCAAGAAAAAGCCACACAAGATGCCCAAGGATGGTGTCCACATGTGGCCCCCCATGTGCCTGGGACCCACCTGTCCCCAGGGGGGCTGCCAAAGTCTGGGGGTAGTGGGCTCTGCCTGGGCTGCCTGCAGCTGCTCATAAACTCAATAACCATCAGCATAAAGAATGACTCCAGCTCCAGCCTACCCACCCTAGTCCAAATGTCACCCACGCTTAGACGCAGAAACCTTGCTCTGCCTGGTCTTCAGAGCTCAGAAAGATGCTCACTATAACATCAAACTCTAAATTTCAAACAGCAATAACTGAACTTCTAATAGTTCTCCAATCAAAATGTCAAGATCTGATTTCAGTGATGGAGATGGAACCCAGGACCTCACTCCACCACTGATTCGCATCCCCCTAAAACTTTAGAATATTTTTTAGCAAGGAAAAGTTTTAATGAGCATACTAATTTGGTTCCCTTTTGTACACTGATGTCTTTGTTTTGAGAAGTGAACAAGTATCACTTGTGTCACTGAACAAAACAATCTAGYTTGGATCCCATGTTTGGAACTGCTAGAAATCGATGACACATCCAGAAACAGACAAGAGCTGAGATGCCAGGCTGCTTGGAAGGTTGCAGGGTGGTTGTTTTTTCTTTTGTACCAGGGAATGAATCCAGGGGTACTTAGCCACTGAGTTATGTTCCCCAGCCCTTTTTATTTTTTTATTCTAAGACAGGGCCTCACTAAGTCCTCAGGGCTCAGTGAGTTGCTGAGAGTGGCCTTGCACTTGTGATCCTTCTGCCTCAGCCTTCCACGTTGCTGGGATAAAGGTATGCACCATTTTGCCCAGAGAGATCAGTGTTTTAAATGCAAGATGGTTTTTGCTCATTCACAGTTTTTTGTGTTTCTTGTAATGAGCATGCATTGCTTTGGGGAAAATAAAAATCAATAAGAGAAACTTCATCTCAGAAACAAATGAAGCAGGAATTGTTTCTGCAGCAGAAGCCAGCTTTCCCTCTCCTCTCYGAAGGTCCCACTTCTCCCCGGGACATCTCAGGTAGGTAGTAAGGTCCTGGGGGCAGTGTCCTGAGGTTCAGCCCTGCAACACCAACACAAGCATTCCCAACCTGGCCTTTACCTCAGAAGCCTCCTACGGGTTCCAGCAAACTTAAGTGTTAAAACCTTGATCCAGGGCTGGGGATGTGGCTTAGCATTCATGAGGCACTGGGTTCGATTCTCAGCATCACATAAAAATAAAATAAAGATATTGTGTCCACCTTAAAAAAATAAATATTTTTTAAAAACCTTGATCCAGTTTCCACTGAGATTTTTGAAAAGATTTCTGAAAAGATTTCAAGAGCCATTCTTTCAAATGTTACAAAAAAAAAGAAAAGGTGGTTTTCAATGGGATTTCACAAAATAGGGATGAAAGAAATTAAGATTATTTCAGTTTCTTCTGCCAAGGCTAACACTTCACTCTTACACTTCAGGGTTTCTAAATATGTAGGGTGCATTGCCTACAACCTAACCTAGGTCTGCTCTGRACCTCAGCCCCACTCTGCAACTCCCAATCAACCAGCAGCTGGGATCACACTGTGAGAGGGACCCACACCAAGGTTCTAATCCTGAGTGCCGTAGAACGACTGTGCAAGCTAGAACAAGAAGCAGGTCCCTAGAGCTCAGCCGCATCAGAGTGGAAAAGAGGACTGAGCAGCAGCCTGGGGAGGAGTTCATCCAAGGGACTCATAAGAGTGCAGCTGGCGCTCTGGAAGTTCTGCACCACTGCAGGCGCTCCATTCCTTCCACAAAATGTGGTGTCGTGTTTGCACACRGACTCCAACTCCACAAGTTGTTTCAGATGTTTTACCCTGTTTGATCCACAGGCAACATTGTCAGTGCAAAAGGCAGTAATTACACCCCCCAATTTTCCTTCTTTCTTCTTTTCTTTCTTTTTTTTCATATTTTTGGTTTTTGTTTTGTTTTGTTTTGGGTTTTTTTTTTTTTTTTGGTAAGCATGAGAAAAACTGAGGTTCAAGGTCACAGAGCACAGAAATCAATCTCAATTGAACCTCAGAGGACCTCATCTGAGCACAATACAATTAAATTTCTCTTAAGATGCCCGGATATTCATGCTTTAATCAAATCAAACYGGTGTCCCTACGTACTCCAAATTAATTAGGTCTGCTTAGGGAAGATTGCAACTGAGAGTTTCCTGCAAGCTTGCTGTATGGCTTGTGCCTGGGGCCAAAAGCTTCCCTCCAACACACTGGAACTGCACCGGCCTGAGTCAGCTCCATCCTACATGCGATCAAACTGAGACTGAATCTAGGCCTGGGTTCAGAAGGCCCTCTTCCAGTGTTAATACCCTGGTACTCTCCAACTCCCATCTACGCCCCAGCCATACACACTGCAAAGTGCTTTCACACAGCAACGCTGAGGCCATGTTCCAGGAAGTGGGCTCGGGGAGTCCAGTGGGCGGCAGACCTCTCCTGGACCTGCAAAGCCCCAGCTTCCTGCCGTCCTGTGAGATGGTGGAAGTCCTGTCATTGTTGGCAGTAGCCATCCACTTATGGCCCCATGTCGACACTGGTGGTTGGCAGGTGGCCCATGCTCGGCAGTGGAAATGGAGTAGTCTGTGCTGGCCCAGCGGCCAGGCGTCACTGTCCCAAGTCGGAAGTGGGCGGTGGAACCGGGCGCGGAATCGGGCGCCCAGCAGCCGCTACGGAGCTGCTGGCTCCAGCTCTCCCTCCCACTCCCCACCAGCTGCCTGCGTCCCGGGGTCCCCAGCCACGGCCTGCGCCTTCCCCGCCCCGCGGACACACGGGGAAGGGGTGACCGCGGGTCTTCGGGACCCCAGTCACCGCACTCTGGGGCAGGGACTGCAGGTCCGCGCTGTGCCTGCAGCCAGAGGCCCGCCCTGCCCTCGCCCCGYGCAACAGGCGCCCTGCCTCGGTTTCCCTCCCCTCAAAAGGCGCCCGCTGGGCCCGAGTTGCGACCAGACTCACTCCCAGGCTTCAGGACTTCGAGGGCAGCGCGCTCCCCACGCGGGATCCCAGGTGCCTACCTGCGCGATGGCTCCCGATGCCGCCAGCCGCGCCCTGGAGACCCGCGCCCGGCATACCCAGGGCCAGCCGCTCCAGCCGCGCCCGAGGGAGGGAGGGAGGCGTAGGACGGGAAGTGGGCAGGGGGCTGACGCCGCAGGGGAGGCTCCTTCCTCCTCCTCCGCGAGGCCGGCAGTTTCCTTTCCATCTGTGGCCCCTGGCACGCTCGCGCACACCCAGGCACAGGGCTGGCGCGGGTGGGACTTCAGGAAGTTTGCTCTTCACTCTCGCCAATTTCTGGGGAAGTGCAGCAGGAGGGATCGGTGCCCCAGGAATGAAGGTGGGGAGGCCTCCAGAAGCCTGGTTTGTGAGGGGCCAGGGATGGATGCAGAGAAGGCGACAGATGGCAGAGAGGGGAGAGTGGAGCAGCTATTCTGAAGTAAAATGCAACTCCGACTTTTGAATCTCTGGCAGCACTGGGCTGTGATCCATGCCAAGCTCCTGGGCACTGGTTAGTGCCTTCACCCCTTCCTTTTGGCAGTTGGAGAATGCACTTGTTACAGGACAATGGGAAGTGACAGACAGAGTTCCTGCCCTGAGGAGCTCAACTCTGGGCAGCAGGCACCAAGAACATTGAGAACTAAATAACATGCCTTAGTGTTGGCCAAGGGCAGAGGCATGGCACAAACCATGCTGCTGCAGGTGCTCAGGGTCTCGTGAGGTCAGGAACACCTTCTGGGAGAATGAGAGGGACTTGTTAGAACTGGATACAYGGGCCTTGTGGGTAAATCCACAGGTGCACGTGAAAAGCAGCAAGCTGTGGGATAGGGACATGCCGGTGGTTACCGGGTGTGGGCGCAGTTGGATCAGGCTCAATGTGTTGATTGAGACCACTAGGGGGAGATTCTGGACTCAGCTGGCAATGGGCAGGGCTGGAAAGGGCTCTAACTTTGATTGGTTAACTGAAACAGGGACCAAGAGGTGGCACACACTAGATGACATTGAAATGTCAGAGCTGCCCAGTCCACTCTAGAACAAGGGATCCAAGGCTTCAGGAGACTGAAATGTCAGGGCGGATATCTCACGTAAGACCTGCTCACCTGTCCTGGATGGGCCCCACACACTCACCTTTCACAGCTGTGAGAAATAAATGTGTCACCCAGCATCCTTGACAGTTCTCCAAATATTCCTACACACTGGCTCTGAACTGCCACCAAATCCAGGAGACCAAAATGTCACTGGACAACCAGTCAAAGTAGGGGCTTATGGAGGCCAGGTGCCCTCTAGTCCATCCCATGAGGGGTCCATGGATCACTGTACACAACCTATGGTTGATACCCCAGTTCCAGAACTGAAGTAGCCATACCCAGAAACTAATGCAATGCTCCCATAGCTTCCCAGACCTGTGGACAAAAGATTATTGTGGAAGGAGACCCATTGGAAGCCACTACAAGTGTCTCTAGCTGGGAAAATAGCCAAAAATTATCCCACATTCCATGAGGGCTTGAGGAGATTAAACCACTACCAGGAGCTTAAAGAATGCAGGGATGATGACACCCACCAAATCCTATTCAATTCATCTATTTGACCCTTGGAAAAAGAAAAAAGAAAAAGAAAAATCTGACAGGCAYAGGGCCACATACCTATAACCCCTGTGACTCATGAGGTCCAGGCAGAAGAATCACAAGTTTGAGAACAGCCAAGACAACTTAGCAAGACCCTATCTCAATTTTTTTAAAAAAAGAAAATAAAAAGCGGTGGGAATGTAGTTTGGTGGTAGAGGACTGGTTTTCAGATGGTTCTGCAGGATATTCAGGCTCTCCAGCTGCAGCCCTGTTGTCCCTCTCTGACCCCCTGAAAGAACAGCAATGAAGCACAATCCTCTGGGGCGGGGGGCACAATTCTCCAGCAGGGAGCCTGCTRGAGATTGTGTCCCTCCCTCCGCCCCAGAGGATTGTGAGAAACGTCCCATATCAGTGTGTAACTAGGTACTGACCCAAGGGCTGTGCCCACTGGTTTGGCTAGACATTTGGCTAAATGTTCAGTATTGGAAGGGAGCATGACTGGAAAATCAGGGCCAACAGATCTGAGGAGGAAATATGTGGATAGCCCTCTCAGCATGCATCGAAAAAGGGAAGGTACTTGTGTCCTGTRTGAATGCTCACGAAAGGGTGACTTCAGCAGAGCAGTTTATAATCAGGTGATAGGATGACATGTTCTGTGGATACCAACCAGCCTCTTTCCCCAGCCTCTTTCCTGTCACTGCCCAATGGGCTCCTGAACAAAGTGGCCATGGTGGCAAGGAAGGAGTCTGCTCATGGGCTCAGCAGCAGACATCTACTCACCAAGTCCAGCCTGGCTATGGCCACCTCTGAGTGCCCAAGTGCCAACAGCAGTGTCTCCATATATCCAATATGGCACCATGCCCCAGGATGGTCAGTCAGCCACCTAGTGACAGGCTGGTTCTGCCGTTCTGCATCCACCATAGATGGGCAGCACCAGGTGCTTGCTAGAATCACATCCTGGAATGCCCCTCTGTCCTCCGTCACACACTGTCTCTGTGGAAACACAGGGACTTACAGAACGCCTTGTCCACGGAAGTTCCCTTTATCCTGAAATCCACGTAAGGTGGAGCGAATTCCTGAGGTCCCCTCATAGCACTGGCAAGGCTGGTCCAGGTGCTCAGAGCCAGCATCCAATGTGCCCTTGCCCCTCCTACAGGCGGGAGTCTCGGGTCCAGGAGTGAGGAGTGGACGTGGATAGAGTACTGTGACTTACGATGAGCCCTGGTGACCCCTAGCAAGAAGCCTGCTTCCTCTCTCCATAGACTGGTGCTCCCCTGGCCTGCCTTCCCCAGGGACTCGGTGATGCCACTGAACTGAAGGAAAGATGCCATCCAGTCGCTGAGAGCCACTTGTAGCTAATTCCAAATCCCTGGGAACAAGATCTTGTCTGGTCCAGATTAGGTCGGAGCCCATGTCTTACATCATCCGGGGTAAGGGGTTTGACCAAGGGATGTAGGACAAGCACAGAGGTCAGGAAACCACCTGTGAACACAGGGCAAGGTCCACTATGAGCTGGACGGTCATCCTGAAACGTGTCTGCTCTAAATGTCATGGTGAGGATTAGGCACTGTGAATCCGGACACTTGTGAGCAAAGAAGACACCCTTCTTGTTTCCTCTGCTGGGGTTTAAGTTCTGGAGGCTGAGACATGTAAAGGCACCCACTGAGAGGGTAGCTGAGAGCAATTAATGAGGGATGATCTTCAATATTTTTTAATTTAAATGAGTGGTGTTATGGTTTGGCTATGGGGTGTCCCCCAACAGGTGAAATGATCAGGTCTTGGTAGCTGTGACCTAATCAATCCACCTCGTGGAATAATAATTTGAGAGGACTACTGTACCCAGTGGTCCCTGTAGGCAGGTCTCTAGGGGTGCCTTGGGGATTATCCTTGTCCCCTGGCTCTCCTCCTCCCTCTGCTTCCTGGCCACCATGAGCTGCACWTCATCCCCCACCATGCCCTTCAGCYAGATGCTCTGCCTCACCTGGGCCCAGAGTGATGGAGTCACTGTCTACGGACTGATATACCTCTGAAGCTCCGAGACCGCTGAAGCTCTGAGCTCAATATGAACTTTTCCTCCTCTGAGTTGTTCTGGTCAGGTGTCTCAGTCACAGCAATGAAAAAAAGCTGAACTAACAAATTGGGAAACTCTTCCTTGTCTTAGTGGGAGCAAAAATGGGGTGGCCAAGGGTGTCAGTACAATCTGAGGTCACAGCCTGGAGCCTCTGCATCTCCAGCGGTCTTCAGTGTGCTGAGCAGAAAATCCACACATCTGAGATCATATTACATGCAACATTCCACGATAGAGGTATGGATCTGCAGCAAGGAGCCAGGAGCTTGGAGGAGATAAAATGTCAAACTCTTTACCAGGTYGGGGCATTTCAACTTTGCATTTGGGAATAGAGGAAGCTCTTTAAGTTCATTAGTAATAACTCAAACCTGCTGAGCTCCTCCTACCTGTCAGACACTGTCCTACACCAGTGAAGCTTATCAGGTCCTTTACAGCAGCCTGATTTTACACCCATCTTCAGACAGGCAATGGAGGCTCACAGGACTAGAACTTTCTCTCCCACACAGCAAGGGCCACAGCAGGAATTGCKACCAGGGGAGCTATTGTGGCATGCAGCTTCCTGGCCACCATGGCACCTGTTCCCCCAGATGAAATCAGCGGGCTGACCACTGCCCACAAGTCTACTCTTCCTTCACACAGCAGAACATGCCGCTGGGCACCTGGCCACTCATGCTGCTACATCTCCTTGGGCACCACACACACACACACAGCACATCATATCACACTCCACATATCATATCACACACCAGGCACACCACACACACACACCACATCATATTGCACATCATGCACACCACACACCCACCCACACACACATCATATCATGCACCATGCACACACCACACACACACACACACCCCACACATCACACACCATGCACATCACACTCACAAACATGCACACACACCACACATCATATCACACACCATGCACACCACACACACACCCCACACATCATATCATGCACCACACGCACTACACACGCCACACACACATATGCACACGAACCCCATGCACACACACCACACAGTATATCACACACCATGCACACCACACACACACCCCACACATCATATCATGCACCATGCACACCACAAACAAACATGCACACATACCACATATCATATTACACACCATACACACCACACACAAACACACCACATCATATTGCACACCATGCACACCATACACACCTCACATCATATTGCACACCATGCACACCACACACACCCCACACATCATATCATGCACCATACACCACACACACACACACCATATCATATTGCACACCATGCATACCCCACACACATACAACATACACACACACACACACACACATATACACACACACTCTTCCCCTAGTTTGGTCCCAGCTGCAGGTGGGAAGAGAGCAGGTGAGTGTGAGAGTCACGCCCTATGTGGCCGGGTGTAAACTGTCACCTCATTGAGGCCAGAGGCTGGCTGG